TTCTTTCTTATATAAATGTATTTGAAAAAATAATTGTTTTAATAATTTACCAAATATAAGGCTTTTAATTATATTTATGCATACATTCAAGTTTACATGTTGAATGGCAGGATTGTTCTTAATATTTGCAATTATTTGACACACTTTTGGTTTTCTGCATCACTAATGTGCCTCACTTTCTCATTTGGTGCGATGAATTTTGTGGTTATTAAAATCTAAACTTGCAGATTTTAATCTCAGTGTGTCTTCTAATGTACATTTCATTCCTCCATATTTTAGAAGTAGACAACATTCAAAAGGTTGAATTGTGCTGTTGATTATTTCTTAGCATCATTCATTTGTAGCCAGGAATTTAGTTGTGAAAGGGCTATTTTAGTCATGGTTCATGATTTTCTGCTTTTCTTTGCATTGAAGAAAGTATAAAACATCCTGCTTTAAATATTTATTTTTAATAGCTATAGGTGAAGGAAAATGGCCTTAAGTATGACAGGTAAATTTAATGTTTAATTTTTTCCTGTAGGTTTACATAACTTAGAGATTCATTTTGACAATGAGTTTCAAAATAGACCATTTTAAACATGAATGTAATCTTGTGACAGTGAGGCCTGTTACATAATACAATGAGACTGGATCCAAAACATGGACTTCCTTTGAAATTCTGTTGAAGTTAGTGGAATTTCAATTAGATTTTTTTGAAAATTGAGATGAAAATCTAATAGCATCGCTGTAGGTTTCAGGTTATTGTAACATACTCAGTTTTAGCTTTTACTGCATGCAGTTGAGATTGTTCCAGAAAATAATATAGCACCTTTTCTAAGCCAGTATTGAATTGTTCTGAAACTTTGCATGTAGTATCTGCATGTCCAGCAGACATAAATCACCATATTTTATCATTATTTGTTTAGAGTGATTGTAAGGCATTTCATGTGTTATATATTTACTGAAAAGATGTTTTCATTGAAATTAAGTGTGCAATCCTGTAAGTTTTAGAATCAATGGAATTTCATATTTAAACCAAATCTTAATTAAACTAGCCATTGTCCTAATGAATTTAAATTCAAACTTAGGACTGACTTAGTGCGGCCTGATCATACATTTGCTTGAAAGTAAGTAAGTCTCACTTTTGGCAATAGAGCATACTTCTAAGTCATTATATATAATAATGTGGCAGCCCTTGGTTCACATATATTAGGCCATATTTGTAGATTATAGTCTTGGAAAGCTTTTGTAGCATACATTATAAGGTTTATACTCTTAAAATTATGGTAAAGTTCGGGAGGAATAAGAGCAATAATTCTAGCTCCTTTAGCCTAACCTTTGATTTAATATTTCAGTTCATGATGACTTTCTAAACCTGTTCACATTTGAAACGGATATTACAGTTGTGTTCAAAATTATTCAACTTAAACCTGTTCACATTTGAAACGGATATTGTATAGCATAGTACCTGTGTGAAGTCAGACAAGACAATACTGAGTTTTATCAGAGTCCTACGGTGTGTTTTACAAGCCCCTTATGCTTTAATTGGTAAATTGGTTCCATCACTGAGAAAGAAATTCATAAATTTTCAGCCCATGATGCAAAAGAGAAACTGAAGTTTTCTGTAGCAAGGATGAGGTGGGAGACACAGGCTGATGGCATCGGCGTCTACAGGTTCAACATCTTTTGTTTATGAGGGTTCCTAGACCACTTTACAATCAGGTCCAAGCTCAGCTTTATAGGCAACCACACTTGGGTTTGGTTTTTCTAGTTGGGACAGCAGCATGCAGGAAGGGAAATCTTAATTCTTTTCTTCCCAGCCACAGTTCTGATGGCTGGGAAGACAGTTCTCCTCCCCACTCTGCAGTCAGTTTGAGGGAGGAAGAGTCTCAATATTATATCAGTGGAATTTTTGTTTCAAATGCTAGTGTGTGGGGGGAGATTGTAGTGGGTTTAGCTCATTTCCCTACAGATTGTGCTTCTAGTGAGAATTGCGGGGAGACATGGAAGGCACCTAGTATTCAACTAAAAATTAACCCAGATATAGCTGCTAACAGTGCAGCTAAAGTGGCATCTGGTTTCAGTACATGCAGAGGTATTGAGTATGTAGACTAAAGTTATTCTTAAGTTGATCCAAAAAGGCATTTTCTTTGAGCAGAGCTAAAGATTCTTTAGCAGAGCTAAAGGTTCTTTCTATTGTTCATTATCTGTATCAGTTACTTGTTGATCAATGTGGTATTATACAGGATTGGATTTCACATTGTAGCAATCATGTTTATAATTCATTTATTAGTTAGAAGGAGAGTTGCTTTCTAGCGTTTTGATATATTTATTTTATTTATTTATTGGATTTTTACCCCGCCCCTCTAGACCATGTCTCAAGTAGGAATGGTTAGAGATTAGAGATGGGGGTATTCGTATACAAATATCCCCACAGGTGGCGTTAACGAGGGTCCTGCCCCATGGGGCCATAAAATCCATTTACTGATCTGCCGCGGGTGTGGACGGCGTGATTTTACCAATGGCTCCACAGTGCACGATCCACTCGCCACTGTTCGACCTTGCAACGAGACTTGTCATCCTGGCTCCTGCCAGGAGTGGCGAGCGGATCATGCGTTGCGGGGCCATTGGTAGAGTTGCACCATCTGTGGCAAATCAGTGAATGGACTGTCCAGCCCCGTGGAGCTGGACCCTTGCTAACACCACCTGTGCGGGGAAATTCGAATATGAATACCCTCATCTCTATTAGAGATCCTTCTTGTTCCTCATTCTTTTGAGGCAGTGAAGAAATCTATGTAAATAAACACTATAGATTTTGACATACCGTATTTTTCGCTCCATAAGGCGCACCTTTCCATAAGACGCACCAATTTTTTAGGGAAAGAAAACAGGAAAATATAATCTGTTTTCTTCGCTCCATAAGATGCACAGACTTTCCACCCCCCTTGTTTTGTGGGGAAAAAGTGTGTCTTATGGTGCGAAAAATACGGCATTTAGTGGAGGGAAAATAGTTTTGCAAATTTTTCTACAGGGAGTCTTTACAAAAAGGTTAAAGTTCAGTTAAAGTCATGGCCCGGTCAGTGTTGGAATCAGTATCAGAATTCCAACAGTGTTCTCTTAATGGTGGATTATCCATATTTACTATCTAAAAGTCTGCATTGAAATTTGCAAATAGTAACTAAAAGCCTAATTTGTATCTTGAATTCTAGTGTATATACTATGTTGGTTAGGCTTTTTTGTATTAATGAATGAAACCTATGCTATCTGTTTATAGCTTGTAGGTTATAGGTGTTCGAACTATTGTTCCTACTGCACTATCTTATTATTTATTTATTTAAAATATTTTTACCTTGCCTTTCCCCTTAAAAAAAGACCCAGTGTGGCTTACAGCAGTGGTTCTTAACCTTTAAAGACCCAATGTGGCTTACAGCATTAAAAATATTTGAGAACTTAAAACAGTAAGTTATACAAATATTTTAAAAAGAATTTAAGTACACATCATATTTAAAATGTTAAAAACAATAATAAAACAGATTTTAAAATAACAAAAATACAAACCACGACATTGTAAAACTCCTCCAGTCACTAAGGGAAAGCCTGCCTGAAGAGAAAGGTCTTTGCCTCCTTGTAGAAGGATAGGAAAGATGAGGCCAGCCTGACCTTCTGTGGGGGGGGGGAGTTCCAGAGTCTGTGTGCAGCGACAGAGAAGGCTCTGTCCCATGTCCCCATCAAATACATCTGCGGGGTGGTAGAGGCATTGGGGCAGGCTCGCAAAGGAATGTGTGGTCTTGGAGATATCTTAGAAAGGTAAAAAACAGCATTTTGAATTTTGCCCAGAAATGGATCAATAGTGAGTAGAGCTGCTGTAACCGGGGTGTGTGTGTGTGTGTGAATTATGTGATCCTTGTAACCAGCTCCAACTAACTGGCTGCAGCCGTTTAGATCTGCTATTGAGAACTGAAACGGCTTCTCTTGTCTCTTCCTGCGCTTAGGTTTTTTAGTCATACAGTCATAAATGGTAGAACAACTCTGCTCTTCATGTTCTAAAACTCTGCCATATAAATATATATTCTCTGGTTCTGTGTCTGACCTCATTGTTCAGTTTAAGAATTCTGTGGATGGGTAGATAGATATGTGTACAGAAGTATTCCACTTGATTTCCTGATACATAAGCCATCTTCCTCTCTCTGTTCCTCCCTTATTTTCATACTAAATAATTTATTGATTCTTGCAATTATGATTTCTGTTTAAAAAAATTATTAATGGTAATTTATTGACATGTAGTTAGGTACATGACCTCATGTTGAAACACTGTTAAATAGTTCATTCTAGCTCTGACCATGAGTTCCGTTATCCACATATAAATTTCTCCTCAGTAGTACTATTTGGAAGATCTCTGCATAGGTTAGTGATTTTGTTTGTGACTCATTACTTCATACTGAAAGAATAGCACAGTTCCTGTTGATACAGAGTTCCACAGAGCTCCAGCAGGCATATAGGGTTTTGGCCCACAGCACAAAATTAAAACGTTCGTTGAGTAAGAAATGTTCGGTTTGATTGTATTATAACTGAGTCATTGAACAATGACATGGCCTTCCATAAATTTGTGGTTTTTTAATCGGTGTTTAGAAGAACCACACAGAATACTCAAACACGACTAGAACCTAAAATTAAGCCCACCTTTACCTTTTAGGAGTAAAGGGATGTGGTGGCGCTGCGGGTTAAACCGCAGAAGCCTCTGTGCTGCAGGGTCAGAAGACCAGCAGTCGTAAGATCAAATCCACGCGATGGAGTGAGCTCCTGTCTCTTGTCCCAGCGCCTGCCAACCTAGCAGTTCGAAAGCATGTAAATAGATAGATAGGTACCACCACAGTGGGAAGGGAACCACGTTCTGTGTCTAGTCGCACTGACTAGTCGCGTCTAGTCCGTGACCACGGAAACCGTCTTCAGACAAACGCTGGCTCTATGGCTTGGAAACAGGGATGAGCACTGTACCCTAGAGTCGGACACGACTGGACTAAATGTCAAGGGGAACCTTTACCCTTACCTTATATTTTATTTGCATCCGTAGTGACCTAGCATTTGGGGGGGAAGGGTTATTGAGAACCCAATTGCATGTTGATGAAATTTTGGTGTAAATATAATGAGATCTTGTCCTCTTAATTAATATTGACATGTATATATCTTTAAGAAGGGTGCATGAGTGACATGTCTATCATTAGGTTGTCTCAGTCTTAAAGTACCTGTATTCATAGACATGCATTTGTTATACATAAAATAGCGTGCATATACACATAAATATACATGCAAGCATGCACACTGTTAAGTGTATATATGTATATATTATGTTTGTGGAGTTATATATTGCATGGGCCATTTGTAAATGGAAGACTTGCTTGTAAATTTTCATGAGTAAAACTTAAGAAATCTCACGAGCTAGAGAACTAATGCCAGACTGCTTCCCCATCCAAACCCAAACTGCATAGAATGAGAGCTGTTCTTTATTCCACTTTTAAATCAGAGAAATATCAGCACATGAAAAATAACCCCTTCAACACTGGTTGTCTTGCTTCTGCTTGTTGCACTAACATTACAAAGAAGTACAAGGTCTAGGCAATTTTTGTAGTGGTGGTAATCCTAACTAAATTGTCTGGAAAAAAATGAAGTATCAGCATTCAGAATATGCATTAAGATTCCCATTGGAAAAAGGAGCCAATTCTACAAGCTAAATAAAAATCCATGGCTTTCCTTCATAGAGATGCTCATCAGTACTGTTATCAGTGCATGTAAACTGGTATCCTATAAGGTGCTGGAGGAAAAGGTTGTGCCTTTTGTGTGTCACAATTCTTCTGGAGCTTAAAAGACAAGAGAACTTTGAATTTGAAAAACACTGAAATAAGTTTGCTTTGATTGTTTGCCCAGTCTCTTTTTTGTTAAACTGGAGAAAGTTTATTTGCAGTTGAGGGGTGGAGCGGGGAGAGAACCAAACTTTGCTGTACTCTAGCATTAAGCATCTTTTCCCTCCTCCCTTAAATAAAGGGGAGAAATGCAAAACTTGTTTCAGTTTAACTGTCTTAACCATACAACAATGATCAGTATAGCATCCCATAACTAATGCTGACCCACTTTCCCAAAGCAACATTCACTGTACATTTAAAAGGTTTTTGTGGTTTAAATGTTGTTACATATTTTACAGCATTAGGATCTATGGAATATTTTGACAACTGCAACAGTTCAATGAAGTTGGTAATTTCTTCTTTTAATTATTTTTCATTGAACAGATTTGGAGTTACACTTCTTAAAAAGCTTGTTTTTTAATGCCTTACAACATAATGCTTAACCTTTTTATCATATTTCTTAAATAGTCATTGACTTTTTGGGTAGCAGAATTTTGACTTTTACTGGTGCATAACGTTGACATAATAGTGTGGCATTCTTTCAGCCGGTGATCATACGTGTATGACTGCACATCACTACATGAGCTGGTGCATGTGGCTTCACAGATTATCTGCAACACCCTAATCTTCTATTAGAAAGAGAAAGGAGGCTGGCTTTTTGCATTTCATTGAGTGCAGTGCTGGTCTGTAGAGGCTTCAGGTTGTCTTTTCCTTCCCATTTAGCTAAATATAGTGCAGATAATTTTTTAAAAAATATTTCGAGGCAGTTGTGTTAGATGCCAGCTAAGTAAAACATTAACCAGATGTGTCTGTGGCATTAACAGAAGCCGATTAAATCGAGATTATTTGTTTTTAAACTGTAACAAATAACTCTGTGAAAATGTCTGGCAATTTAGTCCTTTGGACACTGATAAAGTTATTAAATGGTCTTTATTATAAATAATAATGTTTTTATACTATGCCACTGTCTCATAGAAATAGTATGTCATTGCACCATTATTCAATAGTAAGAATAAGAATAAGAAACTGAATAAGAAACACATCTCCATGGCACCCTTATACCAAGCTTCCTGTAGAATCATTTATTTATGGACAGAAACAATACCCATCAGTTTAAGGTTTTGTTCTAGACTAAGGGAAAGACCCTTTTTGAGATCCAGATATCCAAATACCTGTAACAGAATGTTGATTCTGTGGCCATAGGTCTGCGTAGGCAGTGCATCTTCCCTGTTTTTGCATAGCAAGTCATCCTCCTGTCTAGTCTGTGCAGCATGTCTGCTTCGCGGAGGGTTCTACACACTTACACGATTTTAGACATCAGCTAAAGAACTTTTTTTTATATGAGTCCGTTACTTTTAAAAACAGGTTAATGTTGGTATTGAGGCTCTGTCAGAACAGGGAGAGCAAGAATAAAAATTGTGCCTAGCTCTTCACATACCACTGTTATCAAACTGTACATTATAAATGTTTGTCAGTTTGCAAAATGTACATTTTACATTTAAGAAAATCTGTTGCATTACATGTGGACATTATTTTTGCTGCTCCAGTTTTTATTACACTGGAGGGCATAAGCTGCAGGGCTATGAAGATGCTTTTGGGCGTACACAAGGTATCCGCTGTGTGCATCAGGTTTTCATTGATACTTGCCCCAGTGCTATGGTGAAATCATATTCTGAGTTTTAAGGACAGCTTTTCAAGTTGTTGAAATGGTGCGCATGAAATTTCCCGCTTTTTTCCTACTTAGTTGTCTTTATAGGCAGTGCTACCACTCTTCCAATCAATTCTTTATATGCTACCCCCACAAAACAATAAGCAGTAACACTGAATAACCTATATGTAGAGAAATGTAAATTACAGACTTGGACTACAAAAATGGAAACTTGATGTATTCACTGAGTACAGTAAATGGCAAGTGAATCTCCCAGGCACTAATGTGTGATTGAATAGATAGCAGTGACAATAAATCTAGCCTTACTCAGTTTCAATTCTTTCCCCCCCACACATTGGTAACTTTTTAAATTGAAATTTTCTGTAGTATGCTTTTGAAGTTTTGTAAGCATTTTAGTAGCCTAACTTTAGTTATTTAGACTAATATGTAAAAACAGTCTAATATTAAACAGTAATATTGAAGTAGTAGTAGACTAAGTTAAAGTAGAACTAAAATTTCCTTTGTATTAACAAACTTTGTAAATATGTCTTCTTTTCCTTGCAGCAAGGAGCAAATAATGCTGAGAAATTTGATTATGTGAGTAAATAATACAACTTTTAAAAAGTAGTTCCTACTTTAGACAGTGGAAGGTTTTGTCATCATTTTGATTTAATTACAGTACTTTCCCCTGTATTTCTAATTGTGGGCCAGCGTCCAAATCTGTTAGCATTACATGAGATTGAATGTTAAGGACTACAAATATGATATGGTACAGCTTAATGCCCTCGTTTACTTGTAAGACTAAGGCAAAGCTGAGTAGTATTGAAACAATCTTAGACTCACAGGTTCTCCTCTGTTCCCTTGCTGAAGGGATTAGATGCATCTGCTTCATTCTTTAAACTAATTGCAGCCTGCCGTTACATCAGAATTGGATGAAATTGGTGCATTTAAACTCCAGTGGGCTAAAGAGAGCCAAGATCACATGTATACTTTAGTCCTGGATATTTTTCCTATGGAATAATTTAAAGTAAGTAGAATTTCTGGTTTGGATATACATATTTATGGCTTATTTTAGATCAGAGAAAGAAATATTTCTCATCTCTCATGACCTGTATCTGTGGTCTAGCATTGTGTCTGAACCAGCATAATCCTTTGTATTGAATACTGGATTTATGGAGTCCTTTGCCGTACATTTGCTTCTGAGCTTCAATACTAGACTTGGGATATTTATTTATTTATTTGACTTACACTAATATGTTTGACACTTCATTAATAGGTGATGCAGTTCATGAATAAGATGGCTGGAAATGAATATGTTGGGTTCAGTAATGCCACGTAAGTATATTTCACAGTATAAGCTTGTTGCTATACTGTACAGTGGTGTCTCGCATTACAACGTTAATTCATTCTAGCGAAATCGCTGTAGAACGAAAATGTCGTAATGCAAAAATAAAAAGGCCATTGAAATGCATTGAAACCCCTTCAATGCGTTCCAGTGGGCTGGAAACTCACAGTCCAGTCCATTTTTGGTGGCTGTCTTGCGAGGAATCCATCCCAGAAAACAGCGGGGAGCCATTTTATATACTCGGCGGCCATTTTGAAACCGCTGATCAGCTGGAGGAAAATCGTTTTGTGAAGAATCGGTTCCTTAAGCAGGGAACCGATCATCGCAAAATGAAAAAAAAACAACATTCAGACCATCATTTTACGATCGCAGTTGCGTAATGCGGTTTCGTCGTACTGCAGGGCAATTGTAAGGCGAGGCACCAATGTATTGGGATTAATGGTTAAAAGTGATCTATAAAATTTGCTTTATTAGCCATCCCTGTTATTTAAGCTTGCCACCATCCAGATCATCTCCACTGTCTCATATGTTTTGTACAGAGACCTTAAGGAAAGACAGGATCTTTGCCTTTCTGCTGGGCTTCAAGAGAATCTGGAAGCAGCCCCTCCCGTTGCTGTCTCCTACAAAAGCCCAACAAGCCAGGAGAGATATTATCCATCTTTCCCTCTACATAGTATGTGGATAGCAAAGGAAGGAAGAATAATCCACGAGAGAAACATGTCAGTGTTCTTGCCCCCTCCAGAGCCCCTGACAAGAACGAGAAACACACTTGTAACTGAACCCTCTTTAGAAAGGAAAATTGAGTAATTTAGTTACCTCTTCTATAGGATTTTGCTGAAAGCAGCAGCTAGGCATTGTTTTCTGCAAAAACCCAATTTGCAAACTAGATGCCTGCTCTTCTGTGTTCCCTCTTTAATGTGAAGGGAAAGAGAGATTTTTTTTCTCCTGTAAGGAGCTGGACTTCTAAAGAATGTACCAGTGCCACCTCAGTACTAGGGAGTGATCCTGTCTGTCTTGTCCTCCCTGGCGCTCTTTCTTTTCAACAGGTTTTGCAGGGATTTGTTGGGAGTGTTCTCAAGAGCTATCCTTGTAGAGGAAGGGTACTTGCCAGCAGTGGCAAAGAAGCAAGTAAGCTTACAGAATCTTAATTCAGATAAGTACAAAGTTTCCCTTAAAGTGAGGCATTCAAAATTCCATTGCTTTGTTGACTTGGTTGAATCCAAGAAAGGTTGACCCAAATAAGATGTCTGGCAATATTTTGACAGACATTTTGGCATTAAAGCATCCATGTGCAAGGAGTTTTATGGCTCTGCAGATGTCATCGAGAGATTGCTTCCCTGTGTCTTTTGCAGTCTAAACCTGGCTTGTAGCATTGTTTCATTTGGCCCAGTCAACAGATGTTTGATTGTTTTTTAAAAAGGGAGACAGCAATTTTTTATAAATAGGAGACAGCAACCTGAATGGTGTTCCAAAGGCAGTATGAAGTCAGCAACTCCAAAACACTGCTCTCTTTGGTACTTTGTTGAGATCTGTCCTCAGCCAGCTAAAACCTGAGGTTAGGGTTTGTTTGTTTTATTTAAAGTAGGGTTCATAATTTCAGTTTTTCCCCATAATTTAGCAATAACCTGCTTTGTCCAGTATTCTCAGTAAGTTCCTCTCTTAAAGCAGGGAGCAGATTTATGACCATTAACATCAGACTTATACAGATGTTTGCAACATGTATAGGGCAAAAGTAGGGAAGGAATATGGGCCTGCAGCCAAACCCTATATGCCAACATTCCCATTCACCCAACTGGTTTTTAGATTATGAAAATTTTGCACAGTTCAGTTAGTGCATTCAGCAGAATATGTTAATAGAGCTCCCACACACTTCTGTAACACCCTCCTTAGATTAACCCTGAGTGCTGGGATTCTGTAAACTCATTCGGATGAACCTGCTTCTTGTGGATCATCATGTTAAACATAGTAAACATGTGAAGACCCAAGAAGCAGCTGGTGGGATTTACGTGCTAAATGTATGAAGGTGTAGACTGCAATTGGGTGCATAGGGATTTTTCAGGAGCAGAACTGGGCTTGCATGTGCACCTGTATCCCCTCCACACTTTTGTCCTACTTGTGGGCAGACAGGGCTGCAGAGTCTTTGGTATGTATGTATGTGATGATTTCATTTCTCCTGTCTTACTTCAAAAACAAAGCCACAGATACAGTGTTGAGCAGACCTGGGCAAAGTGCGGCCCTCCAGATGTTGCTGAACTGCAAATCCCAACATTCCTCACTGTGTGGGCTAGGCCCAACTCTCCTCACTATTGGCTGCATGGGCTAGGCCCAACTCTCCTCACTACTGGCTGTGTGGGGTAGGAATTATGGGAGTTGCAGTTCAACAGCATCTGGAGGGCCACATTTTGCCCACCCCTGGTGTTGAGTCAGTGAGTGCCCATGAGAAATCTGCCTTTTGAGATTAATAATTACAGGTATTTTATATATATATAAATTTTGTGGATCATAAAAGTGCTTTGATCTAAAAACTTCTTCCATATCAGAAGCTTTCAGGCAAACATCTTGATATGCTTTTTTGCACTTTGTTCTCCCTAGTTTCCAGTCTGAAAGAGAGAGTGGAGACCGAAACTTCGCAATAGGCTATTATCTGAAAGAGAAAAAGGTATTTTAACAAGGCAACCTTTTGCTTCTTCATTTAGTGAGGATGAAAATCTGTACAGTGTCAGTTAACTGAACAGATGCATGCAAATATACATAAACTGGAAGTTTCTGCTGTCTAGAAATACAGTGGTGCCTCGCATTATGATGTTACTTCGTTCCAGCGAAATCGCTGTAGAACGAAAACATCGTAAAGCGATTTTTAAAAGCCCATAGAAACGCATTAAAACCGGATTAATGCATTCCTATGGGCTTGAAACTCACCATCCAGCGAAGATCCTTCATAGCGCGGCCATTTTTGCTGCCCGTGCAGCAAGGAATCCGTCCCAGAAAACAGCGGGCGGCTGGTTTTTTACCCAGCGGCCATTTTGAAACCGCCGATCAGCTGTGCGAAAATCTTCGTTTTGCGATAATCTGTTAGCGAAGCAGATAACCAATCATTGCAAAGCGGAAAAAAAAAACCATAGGAAACAGTGCTTTGTGATCGCTTTTGCTATCGCTAAAACTTCTTCGTTATGCGATTTCTTCGTTAAACAAAGCGCTCATCTTGCGAGGCAGCACTGTACTTTTCATTTGGTGTTTTGTTTGCTTTTGTATTATAGTCTTGCACACGATTGTGCCCAAAGTAACTCACAGTATATCAGATTAGCAGCAATACGTGCAATGGTTCACTGCCACTTATTACATTCTGGTCAGATGTTCATAATCTATGACAGGAATAAACACAGAGAAAATCTGTACTGCTGATTACCTCAATATAAAGTTAAACAGTGATGCTCTCATAAGACCTCATAAGTAGAGCAGACTTAGAACTGTGCATTTACAAAAGTTGTAAGATGCCAAAGAAATAGTAGATAGAAGTAGAGTGGTGCCTCGCTTAACGAGGATAATCCGTTCTAGCAAAATCGCTGTAGAGCAAAATCCTCGTTAAGCGAAATAAAAAATCCCATTGAAACACATTGAAAACCCGTTCAATGCGTTCCAGTGGGCTGAAAAACTCACTGTCCAGCAAAGATCCTCCATAGGGATCTTCCATAGGGGTGGCCATTTTTGGTGCCTGTAAAGTGAGGAATCCGTCCAAAAACACAGCGGGAAGCCATTTTACACAGCGGGCAGCCATTTTGATGCCGCTATCAGCTGTTTTATAAATGTCGCTATGCGAAGAATCAGTTCCCGAACCAGGGTACTGATCGTTGGGAAGCGAATTTTGCCTATTAAAACATCAAAAGTGATCACGAAACAGTCATTATATAGCAGTTTCGTCGTTTAACGAGGTAATCGTTAAGCGAGGCACCACTGTATATAAAGAGTTTCAAAAATTGTTCTAAATTCATTAAAACCTGGGAGGTGGCAATCAGTCCATCTGAAACGTAGGAGATGGATAAAATCAACACAGTCCTGGAATTGAAATCATAAGGGTGCCTTTCACAAAAGAGATGGGAGGAAAGCAGGCTCACTCTACATAGGAGGGGAAAAATGGGTAGTTGTTCATCCAGAGAGATAATTTGTTGAGAGCATTGCCTTAAACTCCTTCCTTGTAGGCTGCCTAGGGATTTCTGCTCTGCTTGGAAGATCAAAATGCAAAAGAAGCAGTTAGTTGGTTGGGGAATGCAGCTGGTTGAGCTGTTAGAATGGAACCACTAAAGCAAACCGCAATGGGACAAAAAGCTTCAGCACACGCACACACACCAACACCTCCAGCAAAGCAACCTCTGCCTTTTCCTATCAACTCAAAAATGTACTTGAGTTCTGTGTTTGGAATACAAATAATTTTAAGATGTTTCACTTTAGGCTTTCACATCAACACTTGACTGACAGGTTGCTTCTGAAGAGTGATTGATCCTGTTTTGTGTGGTTTTGTTACTATGATGTGCAGTTTCTCCTTGAGCACTATCAAGAGTTCAAGCAGTGGTTCTATAGAATGTGCAAAGAGCTTTAGTAGAGATATACTATTTCTTAGCGTGCCATAATAATGTGTTGCTGCTATTTTTCCAGTGTTTTCCAGAAGGCACAGATATGGTTGCCATATTGGACTTCTACTTCCAGGTATTGAATTAGTCTTCATCTTCATCCTGTCTACAACTGTCAAAGGGAAAATACAGAAAGCTGAATAGGCCCAAACTGAAATCAACAGTTAACAACACTATGATTCTATTTTTACACATTCATATTTTGCAAAAGCAGTAATGATACAGTGTGATGGATCAGTGCATGTTCGAGATCTATTGCATTTTAATACAATATGATAATAAAACAATGTTGTATGCTAGCTAAATAAGTTTCTTTTAACCTCAGACGTTTTGGATTTAAAGTCTCAGAAGCCCCAGCCAAAACAGTCAATGGTTAGAAGTTATCAGAATTGAAAGTCAAAATATTTGGAATGCCAAAGATTTAAAACTGATGAGCTAAACATGTTTTAAACCTATAACTAACCACTCAAGTCAAATTGTACATTTGAAGTAAACTTATTAAAAATAACAGCCAACTTGTTTTGTTTCAGAGATCTGCCCTGAATTCTCCCCTGCTACATGTTAGTCGTAGTTTGTCTTCTGTAGACTGCACATGTAATCCATAGATTATAAACATTTTTAAAATCAGGAAAGCAGAGAAGATTGTTGTTTGGATTCTGCTGGGATTTGCAGCACAGTTAAATATATATAGAATAATACAGTTTTTTTCAGTTTGTTGAATTTCAGTGGTGTACATGGTACTTATCTAATGAAGATTAAAATAAATTTTCTTTAGAGTGGAGCCATATTTGAGACGTTTGGTGCCTGGTCTGAATGTTATACACACGTTGGAAATAAAAATCAGTGGTTGAAATATATTAAGACTTAGCTGGACTTTAAGGGACCCTGATATCAAGTAACTGTTTAGTATACAATTTAAAATTGCATATGTATATTCTAGAGTTGTGAGGCTTTTGGTCCATTCTCAAGTGCATAGGAAAGTGGGAAGACTTCATCTCCTCACACCATACCCTGGGTTGTCCTGGAGGGATTCCTTAGACTTTCTGAGACATTCATTGGTCTAAAGAGGGTGAAACAATCTCCAAACATAGCTCATCTTGAACATTTTTAGATGTAGTCATTTGCTTTCAACCAGAATGTCAGCCAGAGGGAAAACTTTGTTGAGTATGCTTTAAGAAATCTAAATTTCTCACTGCTGGATTTAATGAAATACAGTAGTGCCTCGCTAGACGATGATAATCCGTTCCGCTGAAATCGCTGTTTAGCGAAATCATTGTCTAGCAAAAAGCATTTCCCCATTGGAATGCATTCAAACCTGTTTAATGCGAAAATTGGTTTGCAAAGCAGGGACCAAACATTGTCCAGTGAAATTCCTCCATAGGAATCACTGTTTTGCAAATCACTATAATGATCGCAAAAAGTCAGTGTATAGCGAAAAAACTGTCATGCAAGGTAACTGTCTAGCGAGGCACCACTGTATATGTAGTTGACTTGTTTAAATATACACATTTGACTGTAGCAATTATAACTTCGTGTGAAGCTAGTGTAGTTTGTAGTGCTCTTCTGGAGCAGAAGTGCCTCATCTAATTACATATTCCCTTTGCATTGGTATGAAATATCATGGATGAGAATTATTAAATATAATGTTAACAGCATGTATTCTGATCTCCATCAAGTAGTGGGCTATAACTTGAGAATTTTTTGAACAGTTAATGATTAATACAAAAAATTAATGATTAATGCTCATTGTCATGTTTCTTAAAGTGTATATTATGTACTCAGCCCAATAAGGCTTTCATTGGAAATCTAATTGCAGACATTCTGTTTTAGTTGCTTGTGGGGGTTGATACAGTAGTATATAACTGCATCTAAGTTTTGCAAGGTAGTATTTTCATCTGTTTATCTGTACGTGCTCTACTTCTGTGAAATAGTTTGTAAATATTCTCGATGTTTGTCTTCCTTTTTCTTAAGTTGTGTTCCATAGAGGTGACTTGTGAATCAGCTAGTGTGATGGCAGCAACTTTGGCTAATGGAGGATTTTGCCCCATCACCGGTGAGAGGGTACTGAGTCCTGAAGCTGTTCGGAACACTCTAAGTTTAATGCATTCCTGTGGCATGTATGACTTCTCAGGACAGTTTGCTTTCCATGTAAGTGTCTCTCTTGGCTAACATTTGATAGAGAGATCTGTAAAGTGAAATATTCCTTTTGAATTTTGACATTTATTATAGTTGGCAAGCCAGTTGTAGTCAGTAAATGTGACTCAGGGTGCAAGTAGATGGATAAATTGGATAGGGCTGTATCAGACCAAACAGAGTCACTTAATGTTGCATAGAGATGCAGTATGCCATTTGAGATCCACATGCAAGGATCGACTGGTTTCAGGCTAAGAAACTAAACTGTACTTCAAGTGACCACATTTAATTTGTTCCTCCCATTAAAGGGAAGAGAAACAACAACTTCAACAAACTATACCACCTTTTCATCTCCTATATCTTCCTCTTTGGGGGAGTAGAAGGAAGCCTTGAATTTAAATATACAGTGGTGCCTTGCTTAACGAGCGCACCATATAACGACGACATCGCATAGCGATCCATTTTTTTTGATCGCTAATGCGATCGCTTACCGATGGGCCCTATGGCCGAAAATCGCTTTACGAAGATCGGTGAGCGTTTCGCTTACCGATCTTCGCAAAACGAAGCCCCGACGATCAGCTGTTCAGCGGACAAAATGGCCGCCGGAAGCTCCGTAATGGCCGCGCGCAGCGTTTTCGCGCCCTCCCCTCGCTTAACGAGGGCGCGAAAATGGCTGCCGGCCATAGGAAGCCTCGCTGAACGGTGAGTAAAGGAGCCTTTTGGAACGCATTAAACATCGTGGCTTTCCCTGTCCCATTCAGCGATGTTTCGCTATAGCGAAGGTTAATCCAGAATGGATTAACCTCGCTATGCGAGGCACCACTGTATATTTTTTAAAGTGGCATAGCACTGAATTGGCTTGATGGGCAACCCATTCAGTGCTGGATTTTAGGAGATTTAACAAAACAACAATGTTGAATTCTTTTCTGTTTCCCCCTCTGTGGGGGAGCAGGAGGAAACTTTTTCAGTTACCTGATGACTGATGGTATCATGAAGCAGCTTAAGCAAAGTGACTGCTTAATCACCCTATTTGATTTGATCCTAGCAATCACACTGAATCAAAACAGAATGATCCTACTCATATTAAAATAACAACCACCGCAACAGGGATTTTTAAAATACTGGTAAACTTGGGTAAGAGTTAGGGTGGTTCGCAAGTGTGTGGACATCACATGGTAATCAGGAAAAGGAGTAAATTAGTCCTTCCCAAAGAAGAACAAACCACAAGACAAAGCCCCATCTGATTGCACACTCAGTCACAGAGGCCACTCAGGCCGTTAAAGATAGCATTAAGTGTGGGAACACCCAAGTTAAACTAAATAACTAAATAACCCTTGGACATAAGTTTGACATTACTAGTAGGTTCTGAGAAGTGTTGTTTCTTCTGTAATTACCGACACCCACGTGTGCAGAGACACCCAAAAGATTCCACATTAGTGCTTCCTAAATGGCCATATGCAACTCATGGCTGCAGGGAGGCACATGCCACCAAAATGTTGGTCAGCCCCTCTGCTTGATTCACAAACAACACCTGCAAATAATGGAATAGTTGCCTTTGATGCAACTGCTGATTGAAGGCCTATACAGTGGAACCGCTACCTACAAACTTAATCCGTATTGGAGCTGTGTTCATAAGTAGAAATGTTTGTTAGTAGAAGCACCATTTCCCATAGGAATGCATTGAAAACAGATTAATTCGTTCCGGCCAAAGAAAAGAATCACCAAAAACAAAACATACACCCACCAGCCCAAACCTACCTTCCAAAATCCACCCACTTTTTTACAAGGAAAAAGCAGCACCTTACCTGTCCAAAGCCTCTGCAGAGGCTTTCCAGGCTTCCAAAGCTGCCCCGACCGCTCTTCTCCTTCTTCCTCCTGCGCCACTGCCGCACGCCCGGTCCACAGCTTTTGGCAGGGCTTACTCACAAACAGACCCCCTTTTTATTGGCACTTACTCATGAGTAGACTGCACCTTCTGCGGCACTTACTTGTGAGTAGACCCACTGATTGCAGCGGCGCTGGAAGCCCGGGAGGCTGAGCCTCCCTTTTCCTAACCGTTGGGGCGAAAGAGCTAGAAAGAAGCATCCTCTTCACCATCAACAGTTAGCAAATTTAAATTTCAGGCCCTTTTCCCCTGCTTTTTTCCGTTCGTACCTTGAAGCTCCGGCCACAAGTAGAGGCAAAATTTTGCGGCCGGAGCAGTTCGTATCTTGAAATGTTCGTACCTAGGGACGTTCGTAAGTAGAGGTTCCACTATATATTTATTTCCTTTTGATTGATGCCAGTGAAGAAGAAAGCTTTATACAGTGGTGCCTCGCACAACGAGCACCCCGTAGAGTGATGAATTTTCGATCGCTAATGTGATCACAGAGTGACGGCCCCAATGGGCAAAAATCGCAGAGCGAAGGTCGGTAGGCGGTTCGCTTACCGACCTTCGCTTTGCAACCCGCCGATCAGCTGTTCCGCAGCTACAAAATGGCCGCTGGAAGCCCCAAAATGGCCGCGTGCAGCATTTTCGCGCCCTCATTAAACGAGGGGAGGGCGCGAAAATGGCTGCCAGCCATAGGAAAGCATTGCTGAACTGTGAGTATTCGGCCCAATTGGAACACATTAAACCATGTTTAATGCATTCCAGTGGCTTTTCCTGCCCCGTTCAACGATGCTTTCACACAGCGAGGGTTAATCCGGAACGGATTAACCTTGCTGTGCGAGGCACCACTGTACTTTATTTTATATTGACATGTTTTGAATCTTTATTTGATCTGTTACCCTTATTGCTAGGCTCTCTCCTTCCAGAGAGCTCCTTTCCTTCGTTACATTTGATAGTGTAAATAATACTGCTGTTGTTGTCATAATGCTTTGTTTGTGGGCATGTTCGGAAGATGTGGTAGGGTCATGTGCATACATAGGCCTTTGTCTTCATCTCAGTGCCTAGCTCACATTTTAATATCATTAGTCATTTACCTACTGCTTGTTGCTCCCAAGGAGTAGGTAAAAGACTAATGGATCAGGACTGCTGTCTTATTGACTGTATAGGGCTTTCTGCTATTGTCAGATGATTAGTGAATAACCAGTCATGATACTGTCAGTATTTCACACTGGAACATTATTTTATTTTCATTTAATATAGGTTGGTCTTCCTGCAAAATCAGGAGTTGCTGGTGGTATTATCTTGGTTGTTCCTAATGTTATGGGTATGATGTGCTGGTCACCTCCCCTGGACAAGATGGGAAACAGTGTTAAGGGGATACACTTTTGTCATGTAAGTAAGCACTCTTGTCTCATTTTAAAGTTGTTGTCTTTTAAAAACACTCACATGGTGGTTTGCATCGAGGTGATATAGTGGTGCCCCGCTAAACGATTAACCCACTCCATGATGAATCCGCTTAACGATTAGGTTTTTGCGATCGCCCACTGTTCAAAATGGCTCCCCACTGTGTTAGGGATGGTTTCTTCGCTCCACAGGGAGCAGAAAATGTCCGCCCTATGGAGGATCTTCGCTTTACAATGAGGTATTTCGCCCATTAGAACGCATTAACCGGTTTCTAATGCATTCTAATGGGCTTTTTACTTTCGCTTGACGACGATTTCGCTCTACAGCGATTTCTCTGGAACGGATCAACGTCATCAAGCAAGGCACCACTGTAATTATCTTCCTGTTTGTGTATTCATCTTAGCCTTCATCATTCCTAATCTAAATTTTATTCTTTTTCGTGGCCTCTGTGAATGGGTATTGTCTGCGCCTGCGCTGACTCTCTCGGAAGATTCTAGAGCTAAAAGTAACAATTTTATGGTGTGATCCTCCACGAGGTATATGCTCCTCCCACCCACCATCTTCCCCAGTTCCTTTTTTCTGCCAAGCTGAATGGTTCTCAGGAAAGATTGAGCGCTTCGCTAGTAGCCTTTTGGCTATTTTTCTAGGCTCTTTTGAGCTTTTGTTTGTTTTAATTACCTACTTAGTGATCCCCCATGTCTTTTGTTTGCCTGATCAGCTCCCCACAGTCTTTTTTTCCCCCTTTCCCCCCCTTCCCTGGTTCTTTGCTTATGGCCTCACCATCTCCTTTTAAAAGGTGTACGACCTGTGCGAATAAAATTGCACTTTCTGACAGTCATAATCAGTGCCTTTTTTGTTTGGGTGAGGAACATCCTACCCATTCGTGTCCTGCTTGTAAAAATTTAACCAAGCCGGCACTTAAACAGAGGCTCCAAGGACTTCAGTCTTACCTTTGGCAAACAGCCATGAATCCTCCTACTTTGTCTTCAGAAGCGGCTAGATCTCGTGCCCTTTCAGCCAATAGGCTTCCAGCGGGCCAGTCTACCTCTGATTCTACCTCCATGCTACCAGTTAAGGACACTGCTGAAAAAGCACAATCGTCTGGTAAGCACAAGCTGCCCTCTTCTCAGAAGTCTCGAGCTCACGATCCCAGCTCGAAGAAAAAACCGAAACCTGCCCCTAAGAGGCCCGGAAAGGACAAACTTCCTAGAGTGGAGCCCCCTCAGCCTTCCCCTATCCTCGAGGAATCATCCAGAGAAGCCCCTGATTTAGCCTTGGACGGAGATGATGCCCATGATGTTGCGCCCCCCCCCCACGATGCCGCCCCAAACCCCGAGCATTGGCCTCAACGCGACTGCACCACAGTCAGCCCATTCCAACCCTGACTCAGGGCGGGCAGCTGAAAGCTTGGCATCTGATCTGGAGGTTCCCCCTTCGCCTCCACGGAAGAGAACGGAGAAACGAAAGCCGAGGTCGGTCCCATCACAAGGTGATTTATGCCCTTTTCCAATGGTACCATACCATTTAGACCCCTTCATGTGGCAATCCTGGTACGAGAGGCCGTTCACCCCCTCGTCCCATCGAAGCAAATGCGAGACAAGGTTTGCGAGGCCCTACCAATGCGTCCTGCACCCTCGATGCTGGACCCGGTAACATATCAGGGCCCTTTTGAAGACTTTCCACCCCAAGGGCATCAAGCTCTCCTGATGGAAGGCTTTGGCCCATCGGACTACCCTTCGTCTCCAGGCTCCCCGCATCTTCGGAGGCACAACACTCTCAGTCCTCCCATGAGCCTGACCTTCCCCCTCCTATCCCAGATACGAGGGGCAGCCATGCTTCATCCTCCTCGGATGACTTCTCTTATTCAACCCTCATCTTTCAGATGGCACAAGCCCTAAATCTCGACACTGAACAACCCCCGTCCGCTGATGCCGACCCGGTGTTCGATGACATTAACCAGGAGCGTCCCGGTCTTTTGAGTCTCCCCTTTAACAAGTCTGTCCTTCAACTTATCAAGGACACTTGGGGAAAACCCCCTTCAATCATGCAGATCTCTTGCCGCACCGATGGCCTCTATAGGACCCATGGTGCCGATGCCAAATTCCTCAACAAACATACAGTACCTAATTCTATCATCGTCGAGTCTAGTCGAGCTCAATCTCAGGCTAAGTCCAAACCTATCCTCGCCAATAAGGACGGCAGGAAAGTCAACATGATGGCCAAAATAAATTTACTCTCTGCAAGCCTTCTTGCTCAGAAGCATCAGTTATCAAGCAACTATGGGCGCTTTTCAGCGTCATCTTTGGAATCATGTCCTTCCTTTCATTGAATCATCTCCTGAACCCATGAGATCCGACCTCATCAATATCCATTCACAGGCTATTTCTCTTGCCAAGTATCAGAGGATCGCGGCACGACACTCCACTGAGGCCGCTTCTAAAACTCTAGTCACCTCTATTTCTATTCGACGCCATGCCTGGCTTAAATCCTCCACAATCTGATGACACCAAGTCGAGAATTGAGGATTTGCCTTTTGACGGTGCCGGCCTGTTCAACTCCACAACTTATGACACCATGGAAGACTTCCATAAGAAGCGTAAGACTGCACGCTGTTATTCTGTCCAGCCGTCTTCCACCTATCAACGGCCCTTCTACCATTAGGGCCAGTATCATCCTAAACAATATCAAAATCAAAGGTTCCAACCTTATAGACAATATCGCCCCCATCAAGCTGACAGGTCCTTCCTGCCCCCCAACCCCTGATGGCATCGTACCGACCTCATACCCTGCCTCACCAATGCCAATCCTTTCGAAAAGGACAACAAAAGGGTAAGCAATATTGACAACTACCTATGCCTCCCTTGTCTGATATCCCTCTCTGCCCAGTGAACTGTACCAAACTGGCCCCATTTTTCCATTGTTGGCGATTCATTACCTCAGACAAATGGGTTCTACCCATTATAGCTTCTGGCTACCTCATAGAGTTCTCCGAACTACCTCCGTTGGGGTTCATTCGATACACCCCCTACTCTTCTGTTTTGCAGGACGAGGTCACCAAACTTCTCCAAAACATGCCATTTTTCCAGTCCCTTCTTCGGACTCCCTCAACGGTTTCTACTCAAAATACTTTACTGTTCCTAAGAAAGATGGAGGCCTCAGCCCCATCCTTGATCTTACCCATCTCAACCGTTTCATATCTCCCCGCGAATTCCGCATGCTTACACTGGACTCTATTATCCCTTTGGTTTCCCAGGGAGACTGGTTCATAATTATCGACCTGCAGGACGCCTATTTTCATATATCCATTCACCCGGAACACCAAAAATTCCTCCAGTTTCATTTCAACGGCACTGCCCTCCAATTTTGCGCCCTCCCATTCGGGCTCTCCACCGCCCAACGGACTTTCACCAAGTGTATGGCGCCGGTAGCTGCCTTCCTCAGACTGCAGGGAGTAAACATTTATCCCTATATCAATGACTGGTTGATAGTTATTATGATGATGATGATGATGATGATGATGATGATGATTGATTGATTGATTGATTGATTGATTGATTGATTGATTGATTGATTGATTG